TGGCTGGTAAAGGTCCTTAAAATTCGACAATGATTCCTACAACAACATAACACCGATGATCCTCTAACAGAAGTGTGACAACCAAGCAAGAACGTGACATGTCCCAAGAGTCATAGCACGGCGAAATAGATAAATGAAAGAAAAACAAAAGAAACACTGGAAATGAAAGGAAAACTAAATACAAAACCGTAACATGGCTCCCCTGAAATAGCATATTTCACAATTCAACAATGTCCCTGAAAATTAATTGCAATCACAGTTCACAATCAAAGTTCAGCTCATGACTCAATCAAAGTTCAGTTCATGGCATAATCAAAGTTCACTTCTTGGCTCCTCGTCAGGGATGTACCCCTGGTCTTCATACAGCATCTGTGTCACTAGGAAGCAGTAACACTAACTTGTTCACTGGGTGGTCCAGTTGTTTGACATGTCCCTCTCTCTTACTGTCAGCATGGAGAGTGGCGTCGCCAAGATCAACTTGTACTGAACGGATATATCCGTCTTCAGAGGGATATGTCTTTGACACACATGCCAACTGCCAGCAGTTCCTTGGAAGGTTATCATCTTTCACTATCACCTCGTCACCAACAGACAGGTTTCTTCTTGGATGGTTCCACTTAGCACGCTGTTGGAGGCTCAAAAGGAACTCCTTTCTCCAGCGACACCAAAATTCATTAGCAAGGTGCTGGACTCTTCTCCATTGTTTTCTTGAATAGAGGTCAGGAGACTGGAACATACCAGGTGGGGGAAGAAGAACCTTTGACTTCATTGTATGGAGATGGCTTGGTGTAAGTGGTTCCTGTGAGCTAGGATCGCTTAAGTTGTCAACCGTCAGTGGACGACTGTTGATAGCTTCACATTCACAGAGGTAGGTCTCCAGGGATTCGTGATCAAGCTGGGTACTATTCTCCAATATTGCTGCTAACACACCACAAACCGTGCGAATTTGGCGCTCCCAAATTCCTCCCATGTTGCTTGCAGATGGTACATTCTTTTTAAAGTTGATCCAATCGCAGTTGTCCTCCAGCAATTCCCTTTTAATTTGATCCTCATCAAATTCTTCCAATGCCTCCTTCAGCTCTCTTCTTGCACCTATGAAATTGCTCCCTTGGTCGCTCCATAGTTGACGTACTGGTCCTCTGCAGCATATGAAACAGCAGAGCGCATTGATGAAGAATGCCGTGTCCAGAGAGTTAGAAAGTTCCAGGTGTACAGCTCTAGAAGGCATACACATAAATAAAACGCCATATCTCTTCATGTCCCTTCTTCCTTCTTTAACTATCCAGGGGCCAAAATAGTCCACGGCACTATAGGTGAAGGGCGGTGCCGGCTCTGACCAGTCAAGCGGGTATTCGGCCATCTTCTGCTCCTCAACTGTACCCCTGAGCTTTCGACATGTCACACAGTTGGAGATGCACTTGGCTACTGCTGCAGAACCACCGATGACCCAAAATCCCCTGGAGTGAACTTCACTAAGGGTCATACCTCTTCCTTGGTGCTCCACTTTGTCGTGACAATGCTTGATGACGAGATCAGTGATGTGGCCTTTCCTTGGTAGGACTACTGGGAACTTGACGTTATCTGGCATGCTTGCACGCTTTAGACGTCCTCCTACTCTCGAGATTCCACTACAGTCTACGCAAGGGTCAAGTTTGAAGAGAGGGCTGCAACTCTTCAGAGAAGATTTTCTTTTGGAATTTGATGGCGTGTCTTTGGGATTTTCTTCTTTCTGGATCGAAGTAAGGGCTTTGATCTCCTCCTCAAAGTAGCTAGCTTGCACTGCTTTGATCATGTGAGATTCAGCTTGCTCCATGGCTTCTACTGTGATAGAATTTGAAGTCTTTGCTGTGTTTGACCGAGTCTTGTGGGATGTTCGTTCCTTGAGCTTCTGCGCGTAACTGCAACAGAGGGCGATGGCTCTCTTTCCCTGTGAAAATCTGAGAAGTAATCCAACCGACTGAGCAGATTTGCAAAGGGTTCTTCAACATTGGTAGCCAAGCTGATGCTCTTCTTAATTTCAGGGTCATCGTATGACAACTGCAACATTTCTTGTTCCTCGCTCGGCAAGGGTGTATGCCATTGAGACTCTTCCTTCAATAGAAATGTTGGGCCTATAATCCAATTTGATTTTAGCAATCCTTGAGCGCTAAGACCTCGAGAAGCATGATCGGCTGGGTTCAGCTTGGTATCCACATAATGCCATTGGTTCGGAGAGGTGCGGTCTTGAATTTGCTGTAGCCAGTTTGCGACAAAGATGTGAAATCTTGTTTCGTTTGCAATGTAACCAAGAACAACTTTGCTGTCGGTCCAAAAGACGTCTCTCACTTCTTCATACTCTAACTCTCTTTGCAACTGTTCGCTTGTCTTAACTGAGACTACTGCAGCCGTGAGCTCCAAGCGAGGGACGGTGATGGGCTTCAGCGGTGTCACTCTTGCTTTACCAATGACAAATGAGCAATGGATTTGGCCTTGATCCTTTTTCAACCTCAGGTAGGAACACTGGCCATAACCTCGAGTGCTGGCATCAGAGAAGTGATGTAATTCTGCACTTATGATGTGACCGAAATTTGCAGGTTTGTAGCATTTTGGAACTGATAATTCCTCCAGAACATGAAGCTCTTTCCTCCATTTCTCCCACATTATTCTTATGTTCTCAGGGACAGGGTCATCCCAATCTGTCTTTCCTCTGCAAAGTTCCTGAAGAATCTTTTTCCCTTCCAAAGGGAGTGGGGCTGCAAGACCCAAGGGATCATAAATGGAACTGACAGTAGAGAGAATTCCGCGCCTTGTAAAGGGGCGATCCTTCAGAGTGATATGGAATTGGAAAGAATCATTCTCGACACACCACTGAACACCTAGACACGTTCCATTGGTAGGGCTTCATGATCTAAGTCTATGTTCTTAATTCCTTCCGCTCTGTCTGCGACTGGAATGGACTCTATCACATCCTTACTGTTTGAAATGAACTTGTGTAAGTTGAATCCACCTCTTCTACACATCTCTTTAGTGCCTTTAATTAGAACGACAGTTTCCTCGATTGATGCCACTGACTTTAGACCATCGTCAACATAGAACTCTCTCCGGATGAAATTGGCTGGTGCTGAGCCTAGTTCTTCTTCATTGTCATTTGCAGAGACCTTCAATGCATAATTAGCACATCCTGGAGATGAGGCTGCACCAAAAAGATGGACAGTCATCCTAAATTCTGCTGGATCCTTGGATAAGTCACCACCTTCCCACGAAAGGAATCTCAAGAAATCTCTACACTCTTCGGTCACTCCAATTTGGTGGAACATTGACTCAATATCACACATGGAAGCTACAGGCTCTTGTCTGAATCTGAGGAGGACACCCACTAAGTTGTTGGTCAAATCTGGACCTTGTAAAAGATGACTGTTTAAGGTTTCGCCCTTGAACTCTGAAGAGTGGTCGAAAACAACGTGAATTTTGTTCGGCTTCTTGGGGTGGTACACCCCATGGTGTGGGATGTACCATATCTTCTTGTCTTTGGTGACTGCTTCCTTGATTTTTACTATCATCACCTGGATTGAGTTGGCAGTTCTTAGTGTCTTTCCTTATCAAACATCCCTTTGATGGGACCCTCTCTGCGTAACCACTCTGAATCATACTCTCCATGAAGGCAACATAGTCTTCCTTGTACTTCTTGTTGGATTCGAACCTCCTCTTGAGCTGACTTAAGCGGCGCAGAGCAACTTCGCGATTGTTAAGAAGGGGTGGACTTGGATGTTTTAAGGGCAAAGGCATCTTATAGTGGCCACTTTCACAATGGTGAATCCCATCTTCTACAATTAGAAACTTATCTTGAGAGAGAGATTGTTCTGTACTGTGCCTTTCAGAGAAGTCAGTCTCAAACATTTTCACAGCATACGGATTGATCTCTTCTTTAGTCTGCATCTTTGGAATGAAATTGAGACCTTTGGGTGTGTCACTGCAGATTTCGTGTGTCATAATCCTGTTACAAGTTGCGGCTTCTGCTTCTTCACCATCTTCTCTGACATCTTCTTGTGGAATGACTGGGCCAATAATTCCCCAACCAAGTTAAGTTCTGACTGCATAGGGGTCATCCCCCTTTCCTAGAATGACTTCTCTTGGCTTGATTGCTTGTGGACAATTGCAACCAATCAGGATTCCTACATCTACATCAGTTTGGTAGGGATGTATCTTGTCTGCAATCTTCACAAGGTGCGGCCACTCACTCGCTACTTCTGGTCTAGGGATCTGATTCCTCCTGAAGGGTATCCTTGCTCTAGAGTATGTTTTTGGTAACTCTATCTCCACTCTCTTGTCAACTCGCTTGACTACTAGTCCAGTCAACTTCTCTACAGTGATTTCTTCCTTTCCAAGCAGGGTGAATAAGTTCAACTTCACTTCAGTACCCTTTAATCCTAGGTCACAGAGAGTTTTGGCTTTGATAAAGGTAGTGTCACTGGCATCATCTAAGAGAGCATACACCATAACTTCCCTTTGAGGGCTGTCTTTGTGATGTAACCACACAGAGACAATCAATGAATTTGTGACACTGCTACGTTCACCAACAGAATGACAAACACTGGAACAGTTACTAATGGCCTGATCTGGATTAGTCTCAGTTCCCACTCTGGTCTCCATGACTCCTGTCCCTTCCGGACCCTTTGGTTCTTTATCATCCTTTGTGTTGAAATGGAGACTTGTTGGATGTAATTTACCACAGGTCTTACAAGTCAGCCTTTTGTGACAGTCCTTTGAAATGTGGCCCTTGTTAAGGCAACCAAAGGAAAGTCCCTTTGATTGTATGAAGGCAAGGCGTTCATCGTGATTCTTCACAAATTCATCACAGTTGTCGAGCATGTGTGACTTGGAGCACAGGGGCATGTTTTTGATTGTGATGGAATCTTGTTTCCAGGCTTAGGGCCCTTTTTTTCCTTTGATGGATCAGCAGTAATTGCGAAACTGCTAGAACTAGTTGGACGCCTTCGATTGGTGCCAGGTTTGTATTTATTATGAACCTTTCTGCGTTCAGCCTTAAGGACATCGGGAGAGAAGACAGGATCTGTTGCAAGGTCTGCTTCACTTTCCAAGAACTTCACTAGATCACGAAAGGTGACCACTCGACTGCTCTTTTTCTTTGTCTCAAAGGCATTACGGCACCACTTAAAACTGGAGTAAGAAGGAAGTTTAGAACTGACTTGCTTCAGGACTTCTGTAGAATTCAGGTCATTCAGGACTTCCACACTTTTCATGGCTTCTTCACATTGGCCCAAAAAATCTGAGAATGCTTGTAGACCATTGCTATCCCCTTCAGTGATCTGCGGCCAGTTCCTAAGGCGTACCTTGTATGCATTCAAAACACGATGGGGGTCCCTAAATCTTTGAGTAAGGAGCCTCTTAGCTTTCTTGTAGCTGTCGTTGAACTTTAAAGTGACGAAGCCTTTAATAACATCATTTGCCTTTCCAGAAGTGTACTTCTTCAGGAAGTACAGTCTTTCTTTGTCTACTGAAACTCGACTTTCAATGATCGTTTCAAAGGCTCTCATAAAGATTGGATAGTCAAAGAAGCTGCCACTGAAGGTTGGAGGTTCTTGTACTGGAAGAGAACTGATTCTTTGCTGTTCAGCAATAAGGGCACTCAACTCTGTTTGCTTGACTTGGAGCTTAACTATTTCCTGTAGGGCTACTTCACTAGGGTTTAGAGCAGGATGTTCTTTCTGAGGATGTGGTGGCGAGGGAGTAAATGGGCTCAGTGACATTCCTGTTGTGAATTCAGTCTTGACTGGCACACGAGAGGGTTCTAAAGGCAGGTAGCCGAAAGGATCTGGAGGGTAATAGATTCCAGGCTCTATCTTGACTTGTGACTCTGGTGGTTCAGGTTTGTCAGGCGAAAATGTAAGCTCAGTCTTGATTGGCAGCTGGGATGGATCTGAAGGTAAGTAGCTGGAGGGATCTGGAAGCTGATCAGTTCCTGGTTCTTTCTTGACTTGTGGGTGAGATGGATCTGAAGGCAAGTAGCTAGAAGGATCTGGTGATTGGCTGGAAACTCCATTTTGTCTTGTAAACCTTGGCTTGGAGTATTCAAGGGTGGATCCAGTGGTTCAGTCGTGAGTGTTAAATTTTGCCGAGGGTAGACGGGTGCTTTCGGATTCAACTTGCTCTTTGATATGTCATCCTTATCAGAGGCAGCAGGGTTTTCAAACTTTGCCCTTTCTTCATCCTCAACGACCTTCATTGCATCCCTTTCTGCCTTTGCCATTTCCAACTCATTTAGAGTTTTCAGCTTCTTAAGCTCAGCTTCTTTGTCCAGAAACTGCAGCTGTACTTTTAGTCTTGCTGCCTTTACAACTGCTCTAATTTTCCTTGAGTGAGCGGAAGAAGTGGAGAGTCAAGAAGATCTAGTGCTTTCAGATTTGCTGGTTTTAGAACGAAATGATTTGATCGAAGATTGTTTACACGATTCTCTCTCCACGGCATGAATTCTCTCGGAAATTTTCATTCGGCATTGTTGATATTCGCGATCACGAAGATCAAACCAGTGGTAAGATGCTTTTGTATCTTCAAAGGATTCTAAAAGTTCGTGGTAAGATTGGTGGGCCCTATTAAAATGTTCTCTTTGTGCATCTAGGGCATCTCTTTGGCTTTCAAGTTCTCTTAGTCCGGCGCCTTGCTCCAATAATTTGTATGTTTTGCTGATTTCCTTAGAAAGGGCCGTGTACAGAGTTACTCTTTTTTTATGGACAGTTCCTATCTGATATGCTCTCCCTTTGGTTGTCAGTTTCCTTTCACATACATTGGAGACATCACCTTCAGTTTCTTTCCATA